AGACGGATGGAAGGGGGGGTTGGACAGTGGGGGGGGGTGAGGATGGACAGGCGGACGGAAGGGGGGGTTGCACTGTGCGGGTTGGGGGTTTGAGAATGGACAGAATGGGGGGGGGGCGCCTCTGACCCAGCAAGTTGCTGAATTTCCGGCTCTGGCTCCGATCCGAACCCCCCTCCCCGGTCCCGCTCGCAGAGCCGCGCTGCCCCCTGCTGGGCAGAGCCGGATCTGCCCGTCCCGGGTCATAGACCCCGCTCTGCTGAGGGCGAGTCCCCGTGACTCCCGGGGCCGGCCAGTGGGAAGTGGGGCCGGGCTGGGCCGTGACTCCAAACCCCCCACTCCCTACATCCACCCTGCGCAGTGCTGGGGGCGGAGAGACCCCCCGGCCGTGTTACAGGGGGCAGCGCACACACACTTGTATCCCTGGCAGGACTCCTGGGTCCTATCCCCGGTTGGGGGGGGGCTGGGTGCCAGGATGCCTGGGTTCTCTCCCCAACTGGGGGTCCTGGACCGCAGCGGGGGGCTCGTGGGGCCCCCATTACCTTCACTAGCCCGTGCTGTGGTGCAGAGGCTGGAAAACTGAAAGTCACTTTTCCAGGCTAGCCCCGCCCAGTCCAGCCAGGGAGCGTCTGCAAACTCCCCGCCCGCAGCTACTCTCACCCAGGGGCCTGGGATGGTCCCGCTATCGGGGGAACCTTCCTGGCGTCTGCACCGCCCCGGCGGAGTCGGCTAGTGAAACTAGAGTCCTCGCTCCAGCTCCCTTTGCCCGGAGGCCTGGGTGCCCTCGAGTGCTCCCCTTCCTCCATCCGGCTCGGCCGTGTCCCCGAAACCCCAACAAGGCTGGGCCCAGGAGTCTGGTCACTCAGGACAGGGGCTGGGTGTCCCCACTCCGGGGTGATCTCCCCGCACCTGATGCCTCCCTGCCCTGCTGGCCGTTACATACAGTTCAAAGCAGATACACTTGAGTTAACAGCAAGTGATAACAAAAGCCAGGGGGAAATGGGCAAGTTTCTAGGGCAGTGGTTCTCAACCTTTTTTCCCCACAGACCACTTGAAAATTGCTGAGGGTCTTGGCGGATCACAGAATCATAGAATATCTGGGTTGGAAGAGACCTCAGGAGGTCTCTAGTCCAACCCCCTACACAAAGCAGGACCAGCACCAATTAAATGATCTTTCCTAATGTTCTTTGTACTGTTAGGTAACTATTGTTGAATACAAGCGCAATATAAAAAAACCCTTAATAATAGTTATCTCTCTTGCATGCATATTATCTGCACACATAGCGCAGCTTTAAGATGCTAAACAAATCTATGCGTCAACTAGAAATAATCATGCTCTCATTGCAAATATTAATACAACATGTTCTGATACTGGAAAGGAGCGGAAAAGGCATTCACTCAGGTATATGCAATTTCTCTGAGATGTCCACTTTAAATTTGATTAACACATCATACACCTAGAACAGTAAAAATAAGTAATAAAGCAACACAAACAGTAAAACAAAACCACAAACAAACAAGTGACAACACTGAAAATAGGAAGGGAAATAAAACATCAAGTGGTTGGTTATGGGTATTTTAAATGGGTGGTTTAGGATCCACACTGTGCAAGTGCAACAGCCCTGTAGAAACAGGCAAAGTTCTCCTGGTTTCACATTGTGTGTGTCACCAACTCAAAAACTCACAGTGGACTCAGAGTTTTTAGAAGCCCTGGAGCACATGAACAGAGGGCTTGGAGTTTGCAGACAGATCCCTGCTTCAAAGAGCTTGCAAATAAGGTCTTTATCCTACAAAACACCTAGCAGCATCCCCGCCAAACCTAGTGCTGCTTAAGAGTCAATGGGAGAACTCTGCAGAGCCAGAACTATACCAGATAACAAAGATCTGGCCTTAAAGGTTTCCAGACCTCTCCCCAAACGTAATGGAAATTTTGTCTGGACAAACAATTTTCATTAAGTTTTAGCACTAGTTTGGGGAGAACTGTCTCTCCTCCTCTACAGCAGCTACCAACAGGGCCGGCTCTAGGATTTTTGCCGCCCAAAGCAAAAACAATTTTGGCCGCCCCCCCCCCCGTTTTTTAATTTCCCCACCCCCGGCCCCGCCTCAACTCCGCCTCTTCCCCAAATCCCCAGCCCTGCCTCCTCCCCCCAGGCTCTCAAGCCTAGGACGGAGGGAGGGAGGAAGGGGGAGAAGCGGCGCCCGCGCCGCGGCCACTTGGAGTCTCCCCCTCCCTCCCAGGTTTGAGAGCCTGGGAGGGAGGGGGAGCAGCGGCGCGCAAAACGGCCGCTAGGGATCTCCCCCTCCCTCCCAGGTTTGAGAGCCTGGGAGGGAGGGGGAGAAGCGGCGTGCGAATCAGCTGTTTCGCACACCGTGGTGAGCTAGGGCGGCCGGGGCACATTTTTAGGGGCGGCATTCTGGCGCCAGCCATGCCGCCCCTAAAAATGTGCCACCCCAAGCACCAGCTTGTTTTGCTGGTGCCTAGAGCCGGGCCTGGCTACCAAGTTGGGGCTGGGGCTCCAAATATATGGAGATATACTTATCTCATAGAACTGGAAGGGACCAGGGCCGGCTCTAGGCGTTTTGCCGCCCCAAGCAAAAAAAAATGTGGCTGCCCCCCCCACCACTAATGCCCTCCCTCACCTGCACCCTCTTCTGCCCCAGGCCTGGGCTCCCCCCCACCAGTGCTGACTCTGCCCACTCCCCCCTCGCCTCCAGCCAGTCTGCGCTGGCAGGGTTGGGTAAGCAGCTGGCAGGGTCGGGTAAGCAGCGGGGCTCCTGGGCGTGCCTCAGCCCAGGGTCCCTCCAGCCAGGGCTCCTACTTCTAGGACCAGCCGGGACATGGGAGGGCAGAGCTGGGGGACCACCCTGGCAGGGGGCTGAGGAGACAGGGCAGGATAGCCCCAGAGGGAGCAGAGCCCCGGCAGGGCCGGCTCCAGGGTTTTGGCCGCGATCAAAAAAAAAGCCGCGATCTCGATCTGCAGCGACAATTCGGCGGGAGGTCCTTCGCTCCGAGCAGGAGTGAGGGACCGGCCGCCGAATTGCCGCCGAATAGCTGGATGTGCCGCCCCTCTCCGGAGTGGCCGCCCCAAGCACCTGCTTGCCAGGCTGGTGCCTGGAGCCAGTCCTGAGCCCCGGAGAGCGGGACGCAGGCCCCGCACGGCAGCGCCCCGCCCTCTATGGCCCCACTGCTTCTGGCCGCCCTGCCGCAGTCCCTGGGCAGCTCGGGCCGCTTCGCCCAGCCCCGGCTGCGGTGCTGGGGGACGGCTGCCCTGTGGCACCTGCAGGCGGCTCCGTGTGCCCCGAGGAGCGGCCCCCAGTCGAGTGTCCCCCACTCAGAGCCTGCCTGGCCCAGCCACAAGGTGCGGGTGCTGCTCCCCTGCGGCGCGAACCGCAGCGGCCCCAGCCTCCCCCCCTCAACGTGCTGCTGCTGCCAAGGCCGGTGTAGCCTGATTTAGGATGTGTTAGTTGTGTTGATTTAATTTATCTACTAAATTCAATTAATTAATTAATAATTTTGTTAATTTTAATAATAATAATAATAATTATTGTGAATATTAATTAGTATGGGTTTTGGCTCGCCAATTTGTTTAATTAGAAGATAGAGTTTGTCCTGAATTAGGCTTTACAGAGTTTATAAAAGGAAATTTGGGGTTGTGACGGGAAGTTTACACAGAGACAGATAAAAGAACAGGAGTACTTGTGCGACCTTAGAGACTAACAAATTTATTAGAGCATAAGCTTTCGTGGGCTACAGCCCACTTCTTCGGATGCATATACGCATTCGGAGAGAGATGTAGTTATAAAGACTTTTTATT